GACGCTTCATACCAGAAGGCAATCTGCCCAAGAGCATTCGGGAGCTCCGTCTTACATACTCTAGTGCTCAAAGTGAAGAAGTTTTACGGCTGATCAACATGCAAGAGAACCTTGTAGAACTGACAGTCGAACAATGGAGATGTAAATTTTTTGAATTCTTGGATAAGTTATCCAACTTGAAGAATAGTTTGGTCAAATTGACCTTGGTGGATTTTATTATAGATGACACTAAGGAGGATTTAGAATATTTAAGCGATATCAGAACACATTTTCCCAAGCTAGAGCAATTAATTTTAATGGACTGTTATGATAGTAATACGTTTTTCGTGCTATCTCGCGAGTTGCAAGACTCGTTTACGTTAAAGGAGAAAACTCGTGATTTCAAGAAATGGGTGACGAAATCCAATGTATAAAATAGAAGATGTCGTATCTAAAACAAACTGTTACGATTTTCCTAAATGTACACAATAAAACTTTTGTTATTAATATCAAAATGAATGGTTAGTCTCGTCGGGCGCAGTTAACTGATTATCAGATACAAGATCTACATACGTCTCAATCCAATCAATATACTTTCGGTCATGAACGTAGCGTTCTCGTCGCAATTGCCACCCAAACACATGCGATTATCCAGAAATGCCTCCAGATCGATGGGGGTTTTTCCTGGTGGATCTGTGCGCGTTAATCTCACGGTTGAGGACGAGTTATGCGTGCACTTGATCTGTTTCCCATCGAGCGATATCGACGAAAACATTATCATATTGCCTGATTGGATTGACAAGAATTTTCACGTAAAAGGTGACCAGATTACAATGAAGGTCGTTGATAATTCAAAAGGTATTACACGAGAACCGATCCTGCAATTGCAATTGAAAAGGTTAACCTTTTGTTGTTGATCAACCAGCATATTCCTAGCTAGAGTTTGCCATACTTTGCAAATAAGAAAAGTATTTGGCAACGTTTGGCTGCCGCCAACGCGGGTACTTCTTGATGTTCGAAAGCGTGCTATGCCAAGATCGAAAGTTATAAACGATTGGGAAAATGTGGTAACAAGGAATTTGGGGAAATATTTTGTACGTTCTTTATGATTTGTCTATACACTTCTATCATGTGTCGGATCTACTTAGCAAGCATCACGTCAATTTAGCTATCACTGAACGCTGTTTTTGCAGTGCATATTTGTGGTGAACTTTGCATATTCAAAGTTGAACGTATAGAAATTGATGGGCTACCGATGACAAAAGAAGACACTGTCAGAAACAACGCACAAAATACACAAATAGAAATACTTCCTGAACTAAGTTTTATAAAGAATGTTCCAATGATTGGAGGGCTCGGAAAAGAAATAGAAGAACTACGTCGGCTGATCGGTAATCACGCGTAATTGTCTTATTATCATCGTTCATGCAAGCATATAACACGTTTACAAAACTGTTTATCGAAACTAGATGAATCTTTCTCTAACTTCGACATCCATAATAAACTCAACATACCAATAACGCGAGCCGTAATGATTTCCGGCCCTCGAGGCGCAGGAAAATCTCTTCTTATTCAGTGAGTGTTGATTACATTTTGTATATCATAGTAACGTTTCAAGATAACTAATTACAGCAGAAACGTATGTCAGAAAATTCAAGCACAGCTATTCGAAATATCACTTGCATCGGTTGTATCAGTTGTCAGTCAAATCCGTGATCAGGCAGAGTTTTTAGAAAATAACTTGATTAGATGGACTTTTACCAAGGCTATTTTGTCAGCTCCAAGCGTTATCGTGATTGAAGGATTCGACTTACTAGACAACGGTAAGTTTACAAAACGTGCGCCAGTCAAAGTTTCATCGTCCAAAAGTGATTATAT